CTGAATACACCTGATAAGTGGTTTACTTTCTGTCTGCAAACATCTACTGATTATTTATTAGGTACAGGCCATGATCACAACAAAGATGCATAAGACACTACACTAGCCAGGAAGATAGTCTCAAAAACAATTAAACTCAAATTAAATTCTAATCCAGCCATGAGTACAAGGCTAAGGAGTGACAAATCCCTTTTGGGGTTAGAGGAGTCAGGATAAAGCTCTTAGCAGAATGTGTGCCTCTCAGCTGGGCGCGGTGGCTCACGCCTGTAATCCCAGCACTTTGGGAGGCTGAGTAGGGCAGATCACCTGAGTTTGGGAGTTTGAGACCAGCCTGACCAATATGGAGAAACCCCATCTCTACTAAAAATACAAAATTAGCCAGGCGTGATGGCACATGCCTGTAATCCCAACTACTCGGGAGGCTGTGGCAGGAGAATCACTTCAACCCAGGAGGCAGAGGTTGCAGTGGGCCAAGATCGGGCCATTTCACTCCAGCCTGGGCAACAAGAGGGAAACTCCATCTCAAAAAAAACAAACAAAACAACAACAACAAAAATGAACGTGTGCCTTTCTACCAGGTCCGGGGAAGAAGTTGCAAAGTCAGCATTCCAGGTGAAAGAAACAGCTTGAACAGAAGTGTGTAGGGGAACAGCAAGTGGTCTTGAGTGCTGAGAGTACAATCACCCTTGGGGAAATACTAGAAGAATGATAAACAGAGGCCAGTTTGTTAAAAAACACTCAAAATTAAGGTTAGGAGTTCAGACCTGTGGCAGGAATGAAATCCTTAGACCCATGCTGTCCAGTGTGGTAGCCACCAGCCACATGCAGCCACTGGGCACTTGAAATGTGGACCGTCTGAATTGAGATGTGCCATAAGTGTAAAATATGCACCAAATTTCAAACACTAGGAAAAAAGAATGTGAAATATCTTATTAAAATATTTTATGTTGATTACATGCTAAAATAACCATATTTGGGACATACTGGATTAACAAATGTATTACTAATTTCATCTGTTTTTTACTCTTAGAAATCACGTATGTGACTTAAACATTTCTTCTCTTTTTCTTTCCTCTCACTCAGTGTCCTGTGAGTCCAAAGAAATGACTCTCTGGTCTTTTCAGGCAGGAGATATCCTAGAATGAACTCCGACCTAAGCATCAAAATTAATCATCTAACATGATCATTTTATGGCCCCTTCTTCCTATATCTGGTTGCTTTTACATGATCATGAAGATAACCTTATTGTCCCTCTTTCAGCAGATGGCATTTTCTTATGCTACAACATGGCTGCTAATAATACCTACGTATGTCAGAACCGCCGTGACTCCTCAAGAATCTCATTTAACTCTTAATATCAGTGAATTTATCATAATTCCCAATTTTAGATTAGGAAATGGGGTTAGAAAGACCAAATCACATCTTTTTTCAACATCAAAACACTAGCTTGAGATCAAGCCCAAATTGGATCTGTTGTCTGAATTCCAAGCTTTCTGTTATTTATTGACATGTTTTGCTGTTTTCAAAGTATCAAGTCACCTTATCTTGATACTTTGCCTTTATGTAAAGCTAAATTAGATGTTTTTTATACTGAGGGGAGAACAAGGGAATCTAACACTAACCAGCCCCTCCTGTCTGGTAAGCACTTTCGTTACTTTAGTATACATCACCCCAATTGTTTGTATTCACCACACACTTTAGAGGTAGGAAGTACTATTTTTACAAATGAGAAAGCCCAGGCACAAAGGGGTTAATTGGCAATCATCTTTTGAAAAGTCTGTGGTGCTCATCAGAAAAGGTGACGTATCACCTCTTATTTAGTGGACAGACAATAAGTACTTGAGAAGACAGGGGATTTTGTTGGGGGGAAAAGTTGAAAAATTTATCAAAAGTCGTCTTGTCTAAGGGAGTTTTATAATGAGACACCCTAGCTCCTCAGTTCCACAGTGGGTAATTGCAATTCATTCTAAGTCCGTGACATTTCCTGTCTATCCATTTCGTTACTCTTCAATCGATTCCACAAATGCATAAATATTATTTAATAATCGTGTTTTTCTTGCATCTATGTTTGCATCATCAAGTTTTTTCTGATTCTTTTTAAGTGACATAAGTTGCACATGTGTATCGCACAGTATTTCTAGTGCACAGCACACCGCTTTAGAGAATGTGGCGTAAACTGCGCGCTCCCAGGAAAATGCACTGACCGCACGGCTCTCTCGGAGCCCTCCCTGCAGACCGTTCTATCACACCCAACTCCTGGGTCTCTCCCCGAGTTACAGGCCTCCCTGTAGGATCCGGGAACCCAAAGCAGTGTCAGAAAAGTGGGGTCCGCTATTAGGGTCCGGGCGCTCCGGGCCGGCAGCAGCTGCGAAAAAGCCCCGCAAGGCTTCCCAGAACCCGGCCTGCGAGAGAAAGCGCAGGAGTGGGGAGGCGGAACCGGGACCCCGCAGAGCCCGGGTCCCTGCACCCCGCGCGCCTTGGCCTCTCCGCTAAGGCCCGGCTCCAGGAAGGAGGCTCCCGGACGGGCCCAAGACGCCTCCCAGGCGGTCGGGGCCCAGCTGCAGCATGCGGAGTGTAGGCGGCCGCCGGGAAGCGGCCGCCGGACACAAACTCGGCGGGTCCCGGGCTTCCCACCCACCTCCCTCCGGCCCCTCCGGGTCCCCCAATTCGCCCCGCAGCGCCCCCGGTACCACACTTCCCGCCGCCCCGGACGCCTCCTCACCTGCGCACCGCAATCCCGGAAGCTCCCGCCGCCGCTTCCGCTCCGTCCGAGCCGCCGGGTCCTAGAGCCTCCGGCGTCCGTCCGCCCGCCGCCCGCCCGCGCCCCCGGGTCCTAGCGCCGCCGTCACCCTCCGCGGCGCCATCCCCCCTCCACTGGCTGTCCCTGTGCGCGGCTCCAGTACCCGGTCGACCCAGAGCGCTGGCCTGGCCGGCAGAGTCGCGAGCCTGGGCGTGGGACTCACGCACACTCCGAGCTCCCGACGTACACACGGCTCCGATCTCTTGTCTTCCCCACGCCAGGCAGCCCCCACCTGTGCCTTCTGCTCTGCAGACCCTCTTCCCGGGGCTCTGTCCTCTGTCTGTCCCCTTGCTGCCTTCCCCTCAGGCTCACGCCGGGCTGTCCGCCAGCCTCGGCTCCTCCGGGCAGCCCTCGCCCTGGGTGCACCCCGGGGCAGGACCCCCAGCCCAGGCCCAGGGCCCACCCCTGCTCTCGGGCCCAGCGCCCGGACCTGTTTCCTGCGTCCCCCAGCACACCTGAGCTTGTCCTCGCCTCTGTGGGCAGCTCCCTTGTGGTCCACTTAGTTCCCATCCCCCTTTAAGAATTAAATAGAGAAGCCAGAGGCAAAAGTACAGATATCCCATGGGTCCAGTTATGTGAGGTGCCTAGAATGGTCAAATTCACGAAGACAGAAGCCGTGGCCGCCAGGGATGGGGAAGCTAGGCGGAGTTGGGCAGCGTGTCTTCAATGGGCAGAGTTTCAGGCTGGCATGGCGAAAGAGCGGTGGGAGTGAATGGTGGTGAAGGCGGCACAACAGTGTCAACCTGCTTAATACCACTGAACTGTATGCTTAAAAATGGCTTAGATGGTGAGTTTTAGGTTACGTATGTTTTGCCACAATTTTTTAAAAGCTAGTGAAAAGCTGGTACAAAGAAAGAAAATAGGCTTTCGTAAAAAGTTAAATATATAAAAAGAGCAACAGTCCAGAAGTCCAGCAGTAGTCCCTCCTGGAATCTGCTGGCTTGCCCCAGCATTTTTGGCCCTTGCCTTTTAGGGTTGCCAGATTAAAATACAGGATGCCCAGTTACTCTGAATTTCAGATAAAGAACGAATAATTTCTTAGCACAAATATGTCCCAAGCTTAGTTTGGGACATACTTATGCTAAAAAATATTATTCGCTGTTTATCTGAAATTCAAAATTAAGCATTTTCTATTTTATTTGCTACCTCTGGCCACCCTACTCACTTCCTAATGCTCACTCACTCTCCCAGTGTTGTCCTCCTTCACTGCCCCCTCATCTGGGGGAGTTGGATCGAGTTGTAACAAGAACATGCAACTTGTCACTGGCTGCAGCCTGTGGTTCCCCACCAGCAGTAAGAAAGAGATGGGTTTCCACCCATGTTGCAGACAGAATGTATAAGTCCTCCCCAAATTCTTATGTTGAAGCCCTAACCCCTAATGTGATGGTATGTGGAAATGGGCTTTTGGTAGGTAATTGCAGTTAGATGAGGTTGTGGGGTGGGGCCCTTATTATGGGTCTGGTAAAAAAAAAAAAAAAGAAAGAAAAAAAAAGAGAGAGAACACTCTCTCTCTCTCTCTCTCTCTCTCTCCCCCCCACCCCCCCAACCCCGTCTTTTCTTACCAAATTGCCAAGTAAGGATGCAAAGGGAAGGTGGCTGTCTGCAAACCAGGAAGACAGCCCTCACCAGGAACCAGTCCAGTTACCAGCTTGAACTTGGATTCCCAAGCCCCTAGAACTGTGAAGAATAAATGTATGATTTTAAAGTCATTCACTGTGTGGTATTTTGTTTTGATTAATTGTGGTATTTTGTTTTGATTAATACAACCTGAAAACATTTCCCCCTCACCACCCCCTCTCCCCCTGAGCAATATCTGAGTAGCTTAAGGTACTCAGGACACAAGAAAGGAGAAATGTCCCATGCACAAGGTGCAGCCCTGCCTGGGCGAAGCAGCCTGGCACAGAGGGAAGCACACAGGCTCAGGGCTCTGTCACTCATTCTTTGTGTGACCCTGGGCAAGCCATGAATGGGGCGTCAGTCACCCCATTTGTAATGGGGTTTAATTGTGCTTGCCTTGCCTCCTTTTGAAGGCTGCAGAAAAAGGATATCAAAGTATTTTATAATCTGGCTAGGTGTGGTGGCTCGTGCCTGTAATCCCAGCACTTTGGTAGGCTGAGACGAAAGGATTGCTTGAGCTCAGGAGTTTGAGATTAGCCTGGGCAATATTATGAGATTCCATCTCTACAAAAATAAGCCTGGGTGCTGTGGCTCGCGCCTGTAATCCCAACGTTCTAGGAGGCAGAGGTGGGAGAATCACCTGAAGTCTGGAGTTTGAGACCAGCCTGACCAACACGGAGAAACCCCAACTCTACTAAAAATACAAAATTAGCCAGGCGTGATGGCATGTACCGGTAATCCCAGCTACTTGGGAGGCCGAAGCAGGAGAATGGGTTGAACCTGGCAGTCAGAGGTTGCAGTGAGCGCCACTGCACTCCAGCCTGAGCAACAAGAGCAAGACTCCATCTCAAATAATAATAATAATAAAATAAAATAGCCAGGCATGGTGTCACACACCTGTAGTCCCAGTTACATGCGAGGCTGAGGCGGGAGGATCACTTGAGCTCAGGAGGTCGAGGCTGCAGTGAGCTATGATTGTGCCACTGCACTCAAGCCTAAGTGACAGAGAGAGACCCTGTCTAAGGAAAAAAAGTGCTTGATAATCTCTAAGGTTTAGCTCAACACAAAAGGAAAGTATATATGCTCCATGATGCCTGTGAATATACACACACAGCGCATCACATACCAAGCCTGGCTGTGCCTGCTCACAAATGCACTGCTAGGCACCACCCTCAGTTCTAGAACCCCACCAGCCAGTTCACCCTCCAGATGGTTCACCCTCAACTTCATAAAAGTTCTCTACCTAATCTACTACAGACAGGCTCACCCCGGACCTAATTTTAAAGATTTCCTAGGAGCTGGATTGCAAAGACTTTTACCCTCAGCCCCTGGAGCTGCAGTGGGAATCCCTGACCTCAGCCTAGACAAAGAACAGCTGCAAGTCATTCTCATGTGTGGACACGGAAGCCCCGCCTGCCTTGGCTGGCCAGTTGGGCTGAGGGGGCCTGAGGAATGAAGGCTGCAGGGTTGGCCCCTGGAAGTCTTGCTGAGGCTTGCGAGCATCCCCAGCCTCCTGGATTTCCCAGGATCCATGAGCATGTATTTTAGGAATTCCTGGTGGACGGGTGAAGAGCATGCGACTGGATATCCTGAGCCCTGATCTACAGGAAGAAAACTAGAAACAAGACTGAGGACGTAGTTTAAGTTGTTCCCTACCCAGCCTCTAGCTTTTGTGCCACAGTTCCTGGAATAGACTCCCCTCTCCTGAAAACCACTTTCCTCTCCAACAGTAAATTTCACCAAGAGGTCTTGCTTTTGGGAAGGGCTTCCAAGCATACCTGCAGAAAAGAGGATGGAAATATCCCATTCTCTAAATAGATAGACGGATGCAGCCAGACAGAAAATAGTTCCTCTTGCTGAGGTTTCTAACGTATTTGAAAGAGGCCGGGTCTAGAACTCTCCAGAGAGCTCTGTGCTGTGTAGGCAAGGATAAGAACCTTCCCTGTGGGAGTTCCAGAGCCAGTTTTAATAAACACCCATGGATGACTGTGTTCAGAGTGAGTCAGTCATTCACACCATCCTGACCTGCCCTGAGTTAGGCCTTACATGGTCTTCCTTCTCTAGGAAGACTCTGCGGCCCAGAAATGTCCCCTTCTCTGAAATAAACAGCATTTGAATCTTCACCAGACAGACCAGACAGCTTAGCCCTCTTGTAGTGCTATTTGGGTTGTTCTCTGAGAGGCAGCAGAGCACAGTGGGTACTAGGAAGGGAAAGCCTTTGGGACCAGACTGCCTTGGCTGGAGTCCTTATTCTGCTTCTAGCTTTGTGATCCTAAGCATGTAACCTGTGCCTCGGTTTTCACTCTATAAATTTACAGTAACTGAATCTGTCTTTGTTGTGAAGATCCAATGAGTTAACATATTTGAAGTGCTTAAAATGATGCCTGAGTCCATAGATTAATGATGAAAGTGTTTTGGAACTACGTAGAGATAGTGTTTGCACAATTGCAAATGTACTAAATGCCCTTGATTGCTCATTTTAAAATGGTCAAACTGATGTGAATTTCACCTCAATTAAAAAAAAAAATAGATCACACATGGTGGCTCACACTATAAACCCAACATTTTCGTAAAAGGCAACAGATGTATATGATCTGAAGAGAACGCAGAGTATAATACCAACAATTTGGGAGGCCAGTGCAGGAAGATCAGTTGAACCCAGGAGTTCAAGACCAGCCTGGGCAACATAATGAGACTTTATTAAAAATAAATAAATAAATGAAAAGAACTTGTCCAAGGTCAGACAAGCAGCCTCTTCATAAGCACATGTATCCTCTATATTATACTACCTCTAATGGAGGGTCTCCTATGTGCCACAAAGAGGCTGAACTTGAGCCAGAATGTGTTGGAACCTGGGATCATGGCCAGCAGGCTTAGAAGAAGCCATCTGTTTCTCATGCCAAAATGGGCCTCCCACAGATTTGCTCAGGCTTACCTAAAGGCAGCAACATCGCGGGTCAAGAAGGACGTCATGAAGCCATAAATGCATCCTTCTCAGGGCAGCACTTGGCTCTCCCAGGTGAGAGAGGACTCCATTTTCACAGGGAGGGCATGGGAGCTTCAGCACTCATCTCTGAGCCCAGAACGACCCATCTGGAAGACCTTACGGCTTTCCTGCCACCCCCAATTCCTGCCCCCTCTGCAGCCTTGGAAGAGAGTGGAGCTGAGGGGCCTGCCCTCTGTAGGTTGGAAAAGGGAGCCTGGAGCCGAGTGCCCACTGCTGTGGCTGCTCCACATTACAGGAGCTGCGCCCTTCCTTTCCTGGCCCTGAAATTCCACTTGTGTGGGAGCTGGGCACAGGGCCGCAGAACTAATCCTTGGAACAGCTCAGGGAGGATTATCTCAGCTACTGTCAGCAGCCGTGCAGCTGGCTCATTCCCAGATAGGCGAGGCCAGAGCCAGGGGCCTGCCACCAGTGGGAAGGCTTGGGGAAGAGGAAGCCAGCAGAGGTGTCCCGGCTGAGTGTGGCTCTGAGGGGGCTCTCATGGGTGGGGCTAAATCTCACAGGCAGGATTATGCAAATCAAATCAATTCTAGCCAGAGATCTAGAGCTTGGGGGGAAAAAAAAGCCCGGTTGAAAGAATTTAAATTATAAAAACTTAGAAGTGTGAAATGTGAAATCATCCCTTAGGTGCTTATTTAACAATGAAATCCTCCCGACACATAAGCCATATGTGAAAAGTCCTCCTCCCACAAACACATACCCCAACAGGCACTCCCCAAATTTTCCCTACCACCCCTGTGCTGGCATCCTCCCCGTCCTGCTTCACCTGAGACACCCCTCATCTCATAAGATAAGCAACCACGGGTGAGGTGACAAGAAGACCAGACGTGATTTCCTCAGGCCCA